CCCCCCCCGGGGGCTGCCCTGCCACAGGGACCCTGCGCTGCAAATCCCAGCTGCGTCCTGCAGCAGCTGTGCCCCTCTGTGCCATAGTTCTCCTGTGCCCTCTGGACCAAACCAGGTCTAATCCTGCCCTGCCGGTGTTGTCCCAGCTCCTGGGATGTCTCTTGTGGGGAGGAGACCCATGTGCCCCAGCTCAGCACTGGGCATCCCTAGAGCTCCCTGGGTTGGTGCTCCAGCCCAGCTCTGCCCTGTGTCCCTGTCCCACAGCCCTGACCTCCAGGCAGCAGATCTGTCTTCCTGATGCTCCTCATTATCCGGGCTGGTGGTGGCTGCTGGCACACCTGTCCCTAAATCAGGCGCTGCCATCGGCGCTGTCACAGGTAGTGTGGCTCGCTGCTTGTGCTTGGCACCAAATCATTTTTTTTTACCTTCCTGGGGATGATCTACAGGGCTGCACCCCATGGGGACACATTTTACCTTAATGAGTTGATTCTTCCACGTGTCTCCTGGTGGCCCTTAAGGGTCACGGGGGCTCTTGCAGTGGCAGCTTGGCCTGTGGTGCTGCTGGGGGCTGCAGGGGACAGAGCAGAGGTTTGGGATGCTCTGGGAAAAGGGTACCTTTTCCACAGCCTCCCCTTGCTGCCGGTCACCCTCCTCGGGAGGAGGCAGGATGCTGCAGCCCCCTGACCCGTGCCCCCCCCAGGCATGGCCACCTACACGGACAAGCTCTTCAAGCTCCGCAACGGGCGCTGGGAGGACCTCCTGAGTGATGAGGTGAACCGGGATGTGGCCAGCCGCTTCGCCGGGCGCTCCGTTGCCTGCGTGGACCGGACGGTGAGCAGGCAGGGCATGGCGGGCAGGGGGCATCTCTGCCCCCTTCCCACCCCCCCCTGCCCCTCCAGCCTTCCCCTGTGGGGTCCCAGGGGACCCCTCCCCTCGCCTGGGTACCAGCCCCATCCCACCCCCCACTGGGGCTGGGGGTGCCCCCCAGCAGCCTGTGACTGTCAGGGCTGGCCGGCCCCCCCGCCGCGGGGGCCGGGGGGGGCC